ACTTGGCTATACTTTATTACTACTCTATCTAAGAACGAGCTAATCAGACTGTTCTATAAGTTTAGGTGGTCTGACTATAGCCGTATCACAACTTGAAGAAAGTACAACTAAGAATAAAATGGATGGTAAACTGGGGCAGGCCGAACTTCAGTTAGTTCAGTCATATGCAGCGTTAGAAGACAAAGGTAAAGATAAGTATATATAACTTGGATACTTCAAACAGTCTAGGGCGACTAGAGTGGTCTAATCATGTGCCCAAAGAAGAGAAAAGTAGTTGTGCCCTCTGTTTGTGTATATTTGACCAAGTCAGAACGCTCTATAAGTTTAGGTATTCTGACTCTAGGCCTGGCTAAGTTGAGTTGTTCTGTAAGTTCAGGCGGCCTGACCTATGCCTTATGTAAGTCGGGTATAAAGGGTTGAATCATTGAGAGATCATAAACTATTGTTTGTTCAGGTTGACTTTGGGATGGTGAGAGTACTTACCCTTGTGGTTTGGCTTGCATGTGACTGAGTGAGGCCACTACTTAGTATGAGTTTCAGATTGATAGGTAGTTGTTTTAGTTGCTCGCCACGTGTTAGAGCCATAGGAGTTAGTGTCAATTCCTGCATTTTCTATATTTTTTTTTTTTACTTAGGTCAATTCTTGCATTTTCTGAGATCTTTTCTTATACTTGGCTTTGTATAAATTTTGGCAAGCTACTTTCCCTACGGGAAGCGTTGCCGAAATTTCTACAGATCCAAGGAGTTAGTTGAATTTTGACTTGTCAAAAGATCAACTTTGTCCTTTTTCGTATCTGACTTAGTTAAAAACTGGGAAGTCTCCCTTTCTAGAGGGAGTGCTGCCCAAATTTTTGCTAATTCAGGGAGTTAGACAAAATTAGACTTTGGGAAGTCAAAAGTTACTTTCAAATTATGGACGTAGCCTTGTGAAAATTTTGGCATAACACTTTTGTAGAGGGGTGGTRCCRAAATTTTTACAAAACTAAGAAATTGATTAAATTTTGTCTAAAGTCGAACTCGAACTATCTTTCGAGATCATATCGGACTTAGTATAAATCTCGAAAGCCTCCATTTCTAAAGAAAGTGCTGCCTAAATTTCTGCTTTTTCAGGAAATTAGACAAAGTTTGACTTTCCAAAACTAGGAATTATTTCTGCTTTCTAACTTAGTATAAATCTGGAAAGTCTCCCTTTCTAAAGGGAATGCTGCCCAAATTTATGCTATTTCAAGAAGTTAGACATAAGTTTGACTCTTTGGAGTTAGAAATTATTTCTGCCTTTCATATCTGGACTTATATAAATTCTGGAAAGATACTTTTCCTACGGGAAACGCTGCCGAAATTTTCTGAGTTTAGAAGAGATCGATTATATTTTGACAGGTGACGATTTTGATTGTCCACTCTGACTAAGTAAAGACTACCATATTGTTTAGAGGTAGGCTTAGACATGGTTAACTAAGATGATTTGGGTAAGATCACGATATGGAGATTGTTCTTCATGAACTTATAGGTTTAGAATGGGTCATTGACCTGTCATGTGTTACAGGTCCTCTTGATCGTCCGACTCTAGTTCAGGATTAGACTCAGCTCGATCCCTTGAGGATCATCATATGTTATCGCTGATAACAGGTCGGTTGTCGATTCGTCGGTTTACGACTCAATTCCAATTCACCCTCCACACTCAACCTAAAAGGCTTTAGCCCTGGTGATTTCATTGTTTCGTTATGGTTTCACCCGGACTTTTATTGAATGACCATTTGAGAAAGGTACTGAGTATTTAATTAAGGTTGGTTGGACAGGAGGTTGGGGCTTGCATGGCTAAAGCAAGGGGTATGAGTGTTAAAGATAGTTGGGGTTGACTCCGTGTAGTGCGTGGGCTGTCGATTGACTCGTTGATGTGATTTGCAGGTATGTGCTATGAATCAGATTCTGGATTTGGTTGCCTGCGATCACATATATACGTATGACTGTGAGAGACCCCAATGACACTGTGAGAAGTGATCGTCACATACTTTCTCCTTTATATATATATATATACATGGGTGTGCGTAGGGTGAATGTCTGTATGGATTAATGGGCTCCGTACAAAGAGCATACTTCAGAGGGTAAGACTGAGAGGCCCAGGGAGGACTCCTTCGTTTATTTTGCTTTGCTTCTTGATAATTTTTCTTAGTCGGACGTTGATCCTGGGCCGGGATTCGAGGTCCTTGTCCAGGACATCCCAAGCCCTAGGCTCTGCAGAGGAGGGATTTTCCCTCGTGCAGAGCCTATTTGCCTTGCCTACCGAGACACTCAGACCAAAGGCCGGAGGTCTCGCGGCGGCTGCACAACGATTCCTTCAGCCGTGCAATGTCGTGAAGAATTAGACCCTCACGACACTTCGAGTCTGACACTTGAGTGTCATAAGCGGTACTCGGATCCACGAGGGACCTCTTGATTATGGGCAGTACATAGTACGCCATCATTGCGACTGCTTGCGTACGCCTGCATTGCGAGTCGATATGAGTAGGCCCTGCGTCCGCGCGGTTTTATACTAAGTCTCGCGCGCGACGCTGATTTGTTTTCCGCACCGGAAAGTTACGGGTTGGCTACCGAGGGGCTAGGAGAGTTGTCGCGTTGTTTGTGTTGTGTTGTTCCGTGTGTGTGTGTGTGTTTTAATTTTGTGTTCGTAAAGTGGTGTGCGCGTGGTGTGTGGGATACGTCCTAGTCGACCAACGACAGGCCGCGCTTGGGACTTCAGCCCCCCAAGATGGCGGTTCGAGTGCGGGTCCGATAGAGGTGTATTACCGCGCGTACCCCCTATGCTACAACGAACGAGAAACGCCCTCGGCTGGTCCACCTCTGCGATTGCAACTGATTAGCTTTCGTAATGTGGACTGGTAGCTCGGCAGGGGTACGCCCACCGAAGGGAGGTGACAGCTCCCGTAAGGTGGAGGTAAGTCGTGCCTCGCGTAGGCCCTATCCTGTCGTAGGGGCTCGCGAGAGGTATGGCTGGCGCACTCGGTCGGAGCGGCTTGCAGAGGCTCCATGTATATTCACGACGAGGATTAAGACAAACTCCTGCGTGACGCGGCCGGGAGGGTCCCGTGCTGCCCTATGAGGTGCCGGACCGATGCGCTCGACAGGTGGCGCCGTTGCCGGGGATAACAGAAAGCCTACCGTTGTCCCTGGTGGAACGACATCCGGGTATGAGAAGTGAATA